ATATCATTTTCTATGCTAGTATTTTCAAATTGTTAATTTTCTTGTTCAGAAGGATGAACATCTTTGGCAACACAGATCAATTCCTGCCTTTTAGTTTTTCTTAGTTTTATGTCTTTTGATCCAAGTGGTCTGCCACGCTTTTTGCGTATAGAAGAATCATTTGCAAGAGATTTTTCAGAATTCTCTGCTGGAATTTCGATTCTGGCAGGGGCATTCATAGCAGGAATATGTGACTTTGTCACTTTCTTTGTATCTGTGAATGCATCAGGCAACTGATTTGCAACATTTTGTAAATGGATTATCGTTTGCACCTCTCACTCACATATAGTTGGTCTAGAATCAAGGTGTGATAATCCTGTTGCATTCCATGTTATTTCTTTCGTACTTGGGTCTGATTCATTAGTTTCTCCCCCTAAGGTTGGGAATATTGTCTCATTGAAATGACAGTCAGCGAACTGTGCGGTGAATAAGTCACCAGTCATCGGTTCAAGATATTTGATTATTGAGGGAGATTCAAATCCAACATAAATTCCCAACCTTCTTTGAGGACCCATTTTTGTACGATGAGGTGGAGCAATCGGAACATAAACAGCACACCCAAATATCTTTATGTGTGCTAAGTTTGGCTCTTGTCCAGTAACTAATTGCATTGGGGAATATTCATGATATGCAGTCAGTCTAAGCCGAATTAAATTTGCTGCATGTAAAATAGCATGTCCCCAAGCTGATGAAGGTAAATTACACTTCATTAATAATGGTCTAGCGATTAATTGTAATCGTTTAATCAAAGATTCAGCAAGACCATTTTGTGTATGGACATGAGCAACAAGGTGCTCCACATCAATCCCAATCGACATACAATAGTTGTTAAATGATTGGGAAGTAAATTCTCCTGCATTATCAAGTCGGATTCTCTTTATAGAATGATCCGGAAAATGAGCTCGTAGTCGTATGATTTGAGCGAGGAATTTAGCAAATGCTAAATTTCTAGTCGATAAAAGACTAACATGTGACCAACGTGCTGAAGCATCAATCAACACCATAAAATATCGAAATGGTCCACATGGAGGGGCAATCGGACCACAAATATCACCTTGAATCCCTTCTAAAAATGCAGGTGATTCAGTTGCAATTTTGGTCTTAGAAGGCCTGATGATCATTTTGCCAAGAGAACAGGCCTTACAAGAAAAATCACTTGATAATGGAACTCTGATATTCTTTAATGGGTGTCCAAGTGAAGTCTTAATGATTTTATGCATCATTACTTGGCCTGGGTGACCTAAACGGTCATGCCACAACATGAATGTTTTCTGATCATCTAACTTTGTGTTAGAAACCAAATTTATTTCCAATGGACTAATATGAGTGAAATATAGTCCTGAGGAATATGCTGGCATTTTTTCACAAATATATTTAGTGCCAGATTTAGTTGTCGTTAGACAAAGATATTCCTTTTGGTTTTCATTCATGGTTTCTATGTGATAACCATTTTGACGCATATCTTTAAAGCTTAATAAATTTTTTCGCGATTTGCTGGGGTATAAAGCGTCATTTATAAGTAATTTTGTCCCATTAGGGAGCATCACATATGCTTTCCCAGAGTCTTCAATGAGCTTTGCAACACCTGATATTGTATTGACTTTAGCTTCAACTAAAGCCATTTGAGAAAAATATATTTTATTTCTGAAAATGGTGTGCGTTGTGGCGCTATCTATCAGACATAGCTCTTTATCATTTGAATGATCCATATCTGCAGGAGATGATGATTTCTTGAAGATTTTGAGCAGATTCGTGATGATAACGTGTTGTGAAATGAAGAAGATGAAAACTAAATAAAGAGATAGAGATATATGAATAATAATAAGATATAAATTATACTTCTTCTTAATATCAAGATTTCTGAATTTCTAAGTTTTTGAATTACTTTACAAAGGATTTAGTAAGCTCTATTTATACTAGCCAGGCAAGAGGATGAATCATCTAGGAATGATTCTACACAATTTGCTGGCAATATTAGATCTACCCACCTGTATAACTATGATTACAAGGATATGAATTAGATGAGTAGGCTCATTACAAGGATCAGGAGTAGCTTAGTGTCCTAATGACAAGGATGAACAATTCACACTTGTCATCCCCAGGATTTTACAAACAGGGAGTATTTAAATGTGCAGTGAGACAATTCTTAAATAATTGATGAAATGTGGAATTCTTATTATCAATCTTTTATGTTATTTATATTTCTTATATTTGATAACTTGAGCAGCCTAATCAGACTAATAAATTGGAAACAATCATTGGGATGTATCATGCGTGGGTGATGGGTGTCCATCTCTTTCTCTTTTCTAATAAATTAAACATGAATTAATTGGATATTGAGTATTGAGAAAAGTCTGATACGTGTAGGCATGCATGTCAAACACGCCTTTCCGGTAGAAACGTATAATTACGTTCCAAGGGTCGTCACTCTAATTAGTTGTGAAGTTGTGAACTATAAACTTAATTGCGTGCACCATGTCGGCCGGAGTTTTAATTTTACAGAGGCCGATGATGGATGGTAATTTCCGGATACTTTAAAACTTACTTCGAATTAAGTGTATGTGTACACTGTCATTGCCATGTCAACATATATGGTGGTCACTTCCACGGTTCCACCTACACCTAAGTGTATGGAAAGATGAAGTTGAATATTTATTTCGTTTTCAGTTTTACATTGAGACTTACCCTAGCTATTTTGAGACTTGGTATGCCCTATTTGAACTTACCTGATTAATGGAATCAGGTGCTTTTGAAAATATATCAGTTATCCTCATTATGTCCACCCCTAGTTAACATATATTGCTTAATATTGCACCACTAAGAAAAGATTGTCCGGAATGTAAACTTGAGTTGGAGGAACTTGACTCTTCATAGAAAGTCCAGAGTTATGTAAGCTGAAAGAGTTGCATTATCCAGCAAAACGGTAGGAGATAAATATTAAGTAGTCTACACACTTTTTATATCTATTGTATTTTTGACTTGTCGTTGTTATTAACACCGTATAGAAATTAATATTAGTGTTTATTTTTAGTCATCGATGCAACTTTGAATTATTGTACCCTTATCATGTTAAACAATTACTTCCTTCGTTCTTTTATAATTGTAACATTTTCATTTTCACGCTTGTCAACACACAACTTTGATGATCATTATACTTAATTATCTATTAGTAAAAAAATTAAAAATCAAAATATGAAAATTTGTAATGAGACAAATCCAACAATATTTAAAAAAACATATATGCATGAATAAATAAAACGTAGTTAAAGTAGAACACGTGAATGTGTAAAGTTTTCCATGTTGTAACTAAAAAGAGACAGAGGATAGTATGTGATTTTATAGTAATTGCCACCCAATTTCCTTGCAACCAGGACAATCCATTGGTGGAGGGGCCGTCCGATCGCGACGGTGGCAGAAGGTCAGGGAGAAAAAAAATATGGATTTTTTTTACCTTGCCGGAGCTTCGGTGGCGGGAGTTTGAATCTTGGCAGGGGGCAGATGGTGCATGTGGTGACACAAGCATTTTTGCCAATCACAAAAAAAAATCCTATTTTAACAATTTTAAAATTAGTACTTCTATTTGTAATTTTTGCCTTCTTTTAGTCTTATTTAGCTAATTAACTCATGATTTTAATGGTTGTTGATATATACTTTGTCTTTTGGCAACTCTTCTATTGTAAATATATTTGTCAAGACTCCTATTGGAATAAAATTTCCCATTAGTTCACATGGTATTAAGAGCTCTTGGTTTTTAGACACAATTTTTTTCTTTTGGTTCCCATGAACCTTAGTACAGCCGTTGCCGCCTCGGGATCTGCTGCCGCCACATCTATGGCAGTCTCCGATCCTTTGAGGATGAGCGTGGTTGATGATACAGCGCATATCAGCTTCTCTATGTCGCTGACCACGGTGTGCTTCCATCATGTCGTTGAGTTCGTTGCCTCCTGCTGCCTACGTCCACGCAGCCCACCTTCTCCGCGTCGCTGACCACAGTGCTTGTTTCCAGCGTGCTGTTGAGTTCGTCGCCCGTTGCTGCATACCTTCATTCTCTCTGAAGACCCTGGCATGATCCTATCGTCTTCTGCTGGGCCAGTTGGCCGTCGGCCGGGATCCTTTCCGCTGTCCACTTCATTCGCTACTCTTGCTCAAGATCTTTAGGAGTCTCCAAATTATGGACAATATTTTCTATATTTCTTGATCCTAATCTGGTTTCTCGGAAGTCCTAGAAACAACCTACTTGTTCATGGAGATCTTATTGTCAAATATGTGCCTCCTAATCTTCTGTTGGCAGATATATTTACTAAGAGTTTTTGTAGTCTACAATTTCATTTTTTAAAGAAAACATGTGCATTGTATCTCCTGCACAATTTGAGGGGGTGTATTAACCTAATATCTATTTAGGAATATACCTAATATCTACTTAGGAATACTTTGTATTTTGGCAACTCTTCTATTATAAATATATCTTTAAAGGCTCCTAAAGTATTGCATTTGTGAGCGTTATATTTATTTTTTGTTAATGAGTTACGTTATTTGTAGTAACCTACTACTTTCGTAACATTCATATCTTTCCATTTTGAAAGTAGATGAGATTATGAATAGTGAAATAGTTTTAACTCAACATCATTTCGGTAATTACTTAATTAATTCGTATTAGTTTAAAAAACTATAATAGATTTAGAAGAATATGCGAAAGATAAATTTAAGCATTCCATTATAATTTAAGTACACGCATACAGTGACTAAAAATGAAGGAGTACACGCGCTTGCGTCTCCATGGGGTTAAGCATTCCATTAGAATTTAAGTGATGGTTAATACTTAATACGCGCCGACCCTAAATATATGGGATAAAATTGGAATTGGACAAATTTGATATGGATAAAGTTTACTGATCCATATCCATGTCATTTGTCCCCACATATGCCTCTTTCCCACTCCGCTTTCCCCTTTTAAGACCTCTCCGCTCAAGTTTTGCAGAGTCTTCCTTTCCTTGCCCTTCCTTTTTAAGCTCTTAAAATCAACCCAAAAACTCCACAACCACAAGCCTCTTTATTGCCCTTTTTTCGTATTCCCAACAACCAAGACATCATCTTCTTTTGGTTCTAGAGGACACTCTTTTCATTTAAATAGCATTGGATACTCTTAATTTCTACTTTGGCAGCCATTTGATATTCCAGATTGGTTCTTTTTCATTGGGAAAAAACTGGGTTTTGTTTCTTGAAAGGGATATCCTTACTCATCTGTAAATTCAGTTGGCATGGCGTGTTCTTTGAAGAATGGCTTTTCTCTTCCTGGGGAGACCATAATCAGCTCCAGAAGTAAAGGGTCTTCAGGGGCTTTTATGTCATTTAGTGCTGTCCAAGTTCCAGATTCAAGAACAACTGATTTTCTTGGCAAGGCTTTGAATATATCAGATCAGACAGGGAATGCTAAAGCTTCAAGACCCCTCTCTGTTAATGTATGTAATCCCATAAAGATTGTGTCTTTAGCTTCTAGACCCCTCTGAAATGAGATTCTTTTTATCTTTTTGCTGATTTTTTAGTTTTTGTTCGAATAAATGTTTTCAGGCACAAGCATCATCAATCTGTGTTAGCAGATCTCTGAGATGGTGGGAAAAGACGCTAAAGCCTAACATGATAGAGATCCACTCAGCACAAGAGCTTGTGGATGCCTTGTTAAATGCTGGGGATAGGTTGGTCATTGTTGACTTCTATTCTCCTGGTTGTGGTGGTTGCAAGTCTTTGCATCCTAAGGTATGTCTCTCAAACCTCATCGAAACTGTACAATTTTACCCTTTCTTTCTTCCTGGTTTCTCGGAAAATTATTTGTAAGATTGATTTAGTAGTTGCCTGCCTAACTAACCCTTGGTCTTGTCAAGTAATCAATTGCTAATAATAATAATACTTTAAAAAATTATGTAAAGAATTGATAATCAACCATCTTTTTTTTAGTAATTGTTTTTTTTTTTTGTTTTTAATGTAAAATTTGTGAATACAATGGCAGATCTGTCAATTGGCTGAAGCAAATCAGAGTGCAATTTTTCTGAAGGTCAACTATGAAGAACACAAGGCTATGTGCCATAGCCTTCACATACATGTGCTTCCATATTTCAGATTCTACAGAGGAGCAGATGGAAGGCTCTGTAGCTTCAGCTGTACAAATGCCACTGTAAGATATCTAATCTTTTTGGTTTGAAAACTAATATTAATTATATGATATTACATGTTACTCATCATGTTTCAGGAACAATTTAATTTCTAAATAGAGTATTGGTATAAAAAAGATTCATTCTTTCTCATTTTATTTTTGCTTCTTAAAGAGAAAAGGCTGAATTGAAAACTTCATGCCTTACCATAATAAAATAAATTATTGGGACATGTATTATATTAGGAATGAACATTATATTAGGAATGACATGTATTAAGTTGTCCCCATTCCCCAATCAATGATTGTTTGTTCATTTTTACAACTTCATCATATGAATCTGCTTCATAAATGAATTTTATTTTTGGAAATTTCATATCCTGAAGCTAAAATAGCAGAGTAATAATGATATTAATTTATGCCACAGATCAAGAAATTCAAAGATGCATTAGCAAAGTATGGAACAGAGAGATGTAGTAGTGGTGGACCAGCAAAGGGTCTTGAGGAATCTGAACTGTTGGCTTTGTCATCAATTGGAAAAATCTCAAGGAAGGTACCAATGGAGTCTACAATGATGGATAGGGTTGAAGACTTGGTCATGAGTATGACCAATGCTCAGAATAAGATTGGTCTACAAGAAACCAATGAGATGTTGGTTGCCTAAACTAATTAAGAGATTCTTTCTATCCTATTAGCTATTTGTTAGTGGGTGGAGGCAAAGGAGCTCCAAATAAATATTAGAAATTCTTTTGTGTGAAATTTTAATTTGTGCTTATTATATTGTGTACATATTTACCCTTCAACCTATATAATGTGGTCAACCGGTCACTATGCAAATTAATTAATTATTTATTTGTATGTAAGCATGGTTGTGGGGTTTATGGATAAACTCCTCCCAGATTTGGGTGTTTAACTAATTAACTTTCTGAATCAAAATTATTGTTTTTTTTTTGGGATAAGTGCATATTTTCACCGCGATTTCTTATGGTCTTATTGGTAAGAAAAGCAAGGCTAGATGAGGGTTGTTATAATGATGCTTATGAAGTTGTGATAATGTTTAATACTCCGTAATATGTTTGGGTGTATTAGAATTGCAAGAATGTCATAAACCATATGTGATTAAGCATAGGTGATTTACTTCAGTTCCTTTCACAAATTTTCTTCTAATTTATAACCATCAGCACTGAAGCCAATGACAAGATGTCTAAATACGCAGTAATACAGTACATAATTTTTGCCTCTTGTATAGTCACTCTCTTCACATTTCTGATTTCTCCCCCCACTACTCCTCATGGTTCTCCCCCTCAACCATTTTCCCTCTTTTTCTCTTCAATTCATTTTTCATCTTTAATACTACGTACTACTTATAATAATCATCCTCCATCTTTGTCATTATACTTTCATCTTCTTTATCTTTACCCTTATTATCTTTCAAGGCCGGAAAAATAATCGGAGTTTCTGAGTCTCGAAAGTCGTCGGAGTTATTGTCCTTGTGGTCCTAAATATTGATATAAATAGTTTATAAGAAAAATATAACTTGAAAACGAACTAAATTTCTGTGTGTTTAACTTAATAAATTCAAACCCGTACCTATGCACATGTGAAATAATGGCAAAGGGTTCTCATGTGAAATAATGGCAAAGGGTTCTCCAATAGGAGTCCTGACAGATATATTTATAATAGAAGAGTTGTCAAAATACAAAGTATTCCTAAATAGATATTGGTCAGATTCCTAAATATCTATTAGGTAGATTCCTAATTATATTAGCCTATTACACCCCCTCAAACTGTGCGAGAGATACAACGCACAAGTTGTCTTTTAAAAAATGAAATTACAAACTAAAATAAAGTCTTAGTAAATATATTCGCCAGCAGAAGATTAGAAGGCACGTATTTGATAATAAGATATCCACAAGCAAGTAGGTTCTTTCTAAGATTTCCAAGAAACCAGATTAGGACCAAGAAAAGCAGCAAATATTGTCCATAATTTGGAGACGCCTGAAGATACCTTGCGCAAGAGCATCAAATGAAGTAGGCAGCGGAGAGGATCCCAGTCGACGGCCAACTGGCCCGACAAAAGGCGATGGGATCATGCCAGGGTCGCAAGAGAGAGTGGGACATGCGTAACGCTCTGGAACAGCTGTGTCAGCGGTCGAATCGGGTTCGGCTAGAGAATGGTCGTCTGCAGCAGCTGGCGGCGAACTCAATGGTGTGCTGCAGGAAGCAAGCACCGTGGTCAGCGACGCGAAGAAGGTGGGCTGCGCGGACGTAGGCAGCAGCATGCGGCGAACTCATGTGTAACTATGAACTAATTTAGACTGTGAAATCATGGCAAAGGGTTCTCCAATAGGAGTCCTGACAGATATATTTATAATAGAATTATAGAAGAGTTGCCAAAATACAAAGTATTCCTAAATAGATATTGGGCAGATTCCTAAATATCTATTAGGTAGATTCCTAATTATATTAGCCTATTAGCACATACATTTTTGATGTTGCAAACAACTAATGCCTGTATGTGCACAGACATTGGTTTGCACGCAATTGACGTGAACATCTGCAAAAAGAACGCAAGTCGATGTGAATAGTATTTCAATCAGCGTTTTGTTGCACGCAAACAATGGTTGTGCACATACAAGTATTGTATGTGCATAGTTATTTTTGTCTGTCGCAAACAATTAATATCTATGTATACCGGCATTTTTATCTGTTCTCAAACAATTAATGTCTGTGCACAAACAACCAATGTTTGTGCACATACACCCATATGAATTTACTAATTTTTTAGTTTTGTTTGCCGGCAAATTCTTATTCCTGATTATTTTTTTGATTTAGGGAAAACTCGACGATGTAAGTATGATGGAATATGGTAAAGTTGTCCAGTGATTTTCTGATTTTTTCCCCGACGAATCTCTGATAATAATAAAATAGAAAACCAAGATGAAAATGTAAAAAAAAATGAGTAGAAAGGAAATAGAAAACAGAGGGAAGAAGTGAGTGAGGAGGGGTGTATGTATGGAAGGGGTGGGGGGGGATGTGGGAAGAGAAAGAAAAGGATGAGAGAAATGGGAGATATAATGAGAGTTAATTCACCTCATTATGTAGATATAAACATATAGACATACACCCCATATAAATTTGTCATTGATCGAAGCAATTATCAAATGAACATTTGTAAATTGGAAAAGAGTATTTTATTCTTTGTTTAGGATTTGTAGGGTTGGGGCGTTTTTAATTGGAAAGGTTGTTATCTAAAATAAGATTTGAATAGATCAGAGTAGACTTAAACAAATTAGACAAGATCATATCTGATTAGACTATAAATTTAATTCAATTGAAAACATCGTTACACTGGTTGAAAGAATGAGGGTACAAGGGGTTGTTTACTTTCGACTTAATGGACTTAATGAGAACAGTGACTCAATCACTCAGCCATTAAGTCAAGTTTACTTACGACTTAATTGAAATCACGACTTAATCTTTCGGTCAAAAAACTGACTTAATCATTAAGTTGAAATATAGTACTTATCATTAAGACGTCAATTAATAAATGATTCTTTTACTCAATTCAGATCATATATTCAACACATAAAGTAAACACTTCATATACAAATACCGCTTAATCTAAACAGAGACAGAATTTAATATAAAAAGAGTAAACAGTCCCTAAAAGAGATTAATTGGGGATGGCCTCGCACATGTGCACGGGAAATCGTTTTTTCCAAATTTTGGTTGTATATGGAGCAACCAAAATTTGCAATTGAAATGTGTCATTAATATTTTAAATTGTAATAACTTGCAAGGCTGCCTGGGTAAGTGTAGTGAAAATTTAAAATTTGAATACTTCCTCTCAAAACCTATACATTCCATGTACAGCAATGGTCACTATATTCACGTTTTGGGACAAATTTTCCCATCCTATGTACCTATCCCTCCAACATAAGAAGCAAAGCCATGTCCTAAAAAGCCACATCGTATACCGTGGTACTACAATTTCACGCGGACGATACTCTCATTCAAAATGGTGTTATTGTTTCTAGTTCCAAAAACTAGTGTAAATGATGCATGTTACGTTTAGCGTAAATACATTTGTATATGGCGTAAATACGAGTGAAGTGTGTAATTATACTATTATTTGTATATTGAAGTAAACCATATATTTATGGTGTAAATGATATTGAATTTTAAAAAAATATGACTAATTGTGTGAAATATTGAGTTGCTTACTGATACAAATTTTATATCATGGGTGTAAATGATGTACTCCCTCTGTCCCAGAAAATTCTTTTCAGTGTGACTTGGATCGGAGTTTAAGAAAGTGAGAATAAAGTGGAAATGTGTGGTTGTTGTTGAGTAAGAAAAAGGTAAATGAATGGTGATCGCACAAACCTTTCCAAAAAGGAAATGGGAAGAATTTTTTTGGACGGACCAAAACAGTAAGTGAGAAGAATTTTCTGGGATGGAGGTAATAGTAAACACTATAAACGTGTGATGTGCATGTAAATGTGATATATTTTCGCTTAAAATAAATATGGCGAACTTAATTGGTTATATATATTAAAATTTTGACAAATTTTGTAAAATTCATCTCATTTTAAATTTTCAAAATCTAGATATTTTAATGTTTGTACTAATAAGAAATGAAAGATAATAATAATAATCAATTTAGTGCGTTGACAAATATGAAAAGTGGACCGTTGTAACTAAAAATGAATGGAGGAAGTATCTATTACTAATTTAGTATTGATAGATAGATAAATGAGTAAAAGAAAAATCAGTTATGCATCCACTTATAAATTCTAAACCGAACAAGCAAATAGAAAATTATTCCCTTTATAGACGAATAAACATAATTTAAAAGAAGATTAATTTAATAAAACAAGAATCAATTTGAGATTTGAGAGCAAGTTGAAAAGCAAATGAATGTCCCTTGCAAAAAATGAACAATTTGTTTTTTGACAGACAAAAATGAACAAAATTGCACGCGGTTGTTTGATCGCGTAAACGTACCATAGAGTGTAATTTGTGTCCAATGTCTATCATGGTAGCCATGGTAGGTGTGAATGTAATGATTCAAATTTGTGTACGAAATTAGACAAACAAAATTTGTGTACCCAAAAGTTATAGTGTCGTTTTTATCAAATCCAAGCTGTGAATTATGATTCCCGTGAAGTTACACTTAATGCTTTGCTAAGAAGTAAAAGGTGATACCGACATGATCGCTTTGAACGTACAATTTTAGGCCCTCGTATCTTCCTGTTTTCACGTATCGCCACATTTCTATTTACCCTAATTTGTAACATGTTCATTGATTCTTTCGTGCTTTAATTGACCATTGCATATTCTATAAATCTATAATTGTATTACATACTTTGTTTTTTGTTGGGCTCTTGTAATTTGAGAAGTGCAAAAGAATTAAAACATTCGGTATTTTTTATGTAATTATATGATTAAAATTCTCTAGAATTTTATAGAAATATATTAAATGTTCTAAAAGTATTCTAAGACCTTTCAAAGAAGTGGATAATGACCAGACAATACCCGTAGTAGAGGAGTGTGGAAACTCTGCAAATTTGTGGACTTGCACAGGTATCTCATTTTGGTGTACCTCATTCTTACCCTCTTATTGTGTGGCCCAAATAGGACAATACGTTTAAGTGTGTCAACTATTTAAATGTGACCTCATTTGAATCATACAAAGTGTGAGATAAAAATGGGGTACCTAGAGCACACAACTCTTCTTGAAAAATCCTAAAAAAATAGACCATTTGAGAAAAAATAGAAGTAAGATTTTAACCTATTATATTACGTAATATTTGTTCTATAATGATATTACATTTTGTATGGAGATGAGAGAAGAACTAGGGAAAGGTTGGATTCTTAGTTGGATACCATGATTTATAATCCAAATATTCATACTGAAGAAGTTTGAGGTGATCATAATTCAGTATAATCCACTTGTGGTCCTCTCAATAAGGAGCTAAAATGGTGCAATGGTTTTGAAGAAATAGATGAGCACAGCACAATTGGGTGTAGAACTTGGGGCAGAGCCAGCCACATCGTAGACAAACAAGGGCCCATCCAACCCACGGAAAACGAGTTTCCGTTTCTTCAGTAATTATTCCTCGTGGAGCTGACTAGGAAGGCTTGGTTTCCTACTCAACAAGGGACCCAACAATTATTAGTTGTGGATTACGCTGGCTTCTTCGATCAACCGACGCTAATATTAATATTCCTCCAAAAGTTGAATATTCAACCCAGTGGCTTTCCAGTTCCCATGTTCCGACATGACAATATTTTTGTGAGATGGTAAATTAGGGTGACTAATCAGTTCAGTGGCAGTATATATAGTTATATACCTTATACTCTTGCCCACAAAAGATTTACTTTAGCACACACGAGTTTAACCTCCACGCGGTCGCTGTGAATTTCAATACTTGATCATTCCTCTACTTTCCTACTGTGAGAATTAACGGGAAAGATTCTCCAATAGGAGTCGTGACATATGTATATATATTAAGAGAGTTCAAGATACAAAAGGAAACAATATTCCTAAAGATATTCTATTCTTTTACACCGCCTCATACTGTGTGGAAGATACAACACGCATGTTGTCTTTTAAAAAAATGAAACCTGCTGACTAGAAAGACTTTTAGTAAAAATATCAGTCAACTGTAGTTGTGTAGGAATATATTTCACGACCAAATCTTCATGTGCAACTCGTTCTCTAACGAAGTGATAGTCTATCTGAATATGTTTGCTACGAGCATGCTGAATAGGATAAGTCGTCAAATAAGAAGCAAAGATGTTATCACAGAATAACTGAACAGGAGCCTTCACAGGAAACCCAAGCTCGAATAAAATAGAACGAATGTGTAAAGTATCCTGTACGGTGTAAGCAACAGCTCGATACTCTGCCGTCGTAGAAGACTTAGAAATTGTGTGTTGTTTCTTAAACTTCCAAGAGACCAGGTTCGGCCCTAGGAAGGCAGCAAATCCCATCGTGGAGCAAGATGTGTCTGGGCAACCAGTCCAATCAGCACCAGAATAGGCAATAACACATGTGGCCTGTGTAGTGGGACGTAACCATAAGCCGTGATCCAAGGTCCCCTGCCAATACCTGAAATTCTATTGACAACAAAGAGATGAGTAGTATGGGGAGCATGCATGAACTGAGACACTAAATGTACAACATAGGTAATATCAGGTCGTGTCAAAGTTAAATATTGTAATGCACCAACTGTACTACGATACTTGGTGCCATCTGCAAGGAGCTTGTCATCAGTGAGAGAGAGAGAAGTGTGAGTAGCAAGGGGGTGCGAAGAGGCCTAGCCGCATGCAAATGGAAACGAGAGAGAAGATCAGAAACATATTTGTGTTGAGAGAGAAACAAACATTTTCAGAACGTTTAGCCTGGACTCCAACAAAATAGTGAAGGTCACCAAGATCCTTCATAGCAAAATACTGAGCAACGCGATCAATAAAGGAAGAAACAAGAGAGGGACGAGTTGCCAGTAATAATGATGTCATCCACATATAATAATAAATAAATGACACAATTATTCTGACGGTATATGAACAAGGAATTATCATACTTGTTGCATATAAACTGATGAGACAATAAAAAACTATTGAACCGATAGAACCATGCCCGCGGAGCCTGCTTAAGATCATAAATGGCTTTTCGCAGTCCACACAAATGATTAGGTAACAATGGATGGGTAAAACCCCGCGGTTGGCGCATATACACTTCCTCAGTGAGGTGACTATGCAAAAAGGCATTTTTAACATCTAACTGACGAATAACCCACCCAAAAGAAATAGCTAAGGTAAGAACAACTCTGACAGTGATGGGTTTAATGACTGGACTGAAAGTCTTGGAAAAATCTACACCAGCCCGTTGATTGAACCTCTGAACAACTAGACGAGCTTTATGGCGCTCAGTAGACTCATCCGAATTGTACTTAGTCTTATAAATCCACTTTGAGCCCACTACATTTTTAGATTTGTCAAACGGAACTAATTCCCAAGTATAAATAGAAATAAGAGTATTAAATTCCTCCGCCATCACCTCACGCCACTTTAACTATTTATTTGACTCTGAAAAACAAATTGGATCTGCTGGTAAAACAACTGTATTTAAATTAAAAATTTGTTTGGATTTAAAAATACCCAACTTGGCCGGGGTCTGCATGGGATGAATATTCTGGGTGGTAGCCGGAATAGAGGAGAGTGGACTAGTTATGGTCGAAGAAACCAGTGGGCTATCGTTGGGTGGGGAAGTCACGGCCTGGGCTGGAGGTGATGAAGGCATGGCTGGTGGCGGGGAGGAAGGTGATGAATGCAGGTCTGGAGGTGGCTGGTCTGGGACGGCGTGAGGTGTGTGCGGTGTGGAGGGCTGGTGCGGTTATTGCGGTGAGGACTGTTTGGGTACTACTTGCGTGATGATGATTTCATGATTCTGGTAGTGAATGGGACAAATGAGAGAATTAAATAGGAAAGCTACTCCAATAGGACTCTGACATATGTATATGTATTAAGAGAGTTCAAGATACAAAAGGAAACAATATTCCTAAAGAAAAGAATGCTCACTTAGATGATGCATTTTCAATGCAACAATATGCACAGTACACATGTGACACAAAAAACAAAACAAGTAACTTTTTAACAATAATGTCAATCATAATGTCCACATCGAAACATCTATTTTGACATTGTGGAGAAAAATTTACTAAAAATATATAAGCAAGGCAACAAGGACGATCGCTTTAGGCCGAAAAAGATAGAGAAAAAGATAGGCCCAAAATGTTTTCTACATATACAGTGTGAGTAGACTTTTTTTTAAGTTCAATTAATTAGGCCTAATATTTAATTTTTGTTGACAATGAAGCCAAGTTTAAATAAAGAATATACAATAATTTTAAGTAGGACCAGTTGTAGTTTTTAAAGCAACACAATTGTTGCTGAATCAATAAAAGACATATCTCTTCAATCTTCACATCTCTTTAGATGTTAATGATTTTTATTCCTTTTAAGCGATTATTGATGATTTTGCTTCACAATGTTCAGCGAGAAACGTTTTAAGTAATATTTTATCTTTTTATGTAATACTTGTGTTGTTACTTTTGCCCAAATATGTATTTTAAATACTAATAGTATAGTGATTTTTTACTTTATTTTATGATCTTTATTAGATATTTTATATTTGTATTGGATATATGCCCAATATAGTATACCGTCCATAGGTCCGGAAATGGACATGCCCTGCATCTCTCTACATAGATTTTATAATTGAAGTGTTCTATAAAAAATATTCGTAAATTACAACCTCGGAAATAGAAAATCAAAAGAAAACTATTTGATAATAAAAAGGTTAAAATTTTATCGCACTTGGTCTATAGGTGATCATGAAGACCCATGGCCTACATCGGTGTAGCCTACGTCTAATTTTTGGCAGGGGGCCTGCGTTCGCGCTGTCCCTACCTATTTTAAGGGGGGGGGGGGGGGGGGGGGGGGAAGGTTAAAATTTTATCAAATTATTTAACTATAAATAATCCAAAAGGTACGAATTTACAAATACTTTTAAATAACTTATGTATGGTATAGTTGCACGAGTCTAATCACAAAACATAATCAATTTTCCAATTACACTTTTTATCTATCATGGATAACTGATTCTAAGAGGGATCCGGAGCCTCTACCTTACTTTAGAGTAAGGTAGAGTGTCTTGCTTCTTCCCAGTCGTCCGATCGACAATTCAACGGTTGGAGATCTTGAACTCCACTTTTTCGCCGATCTCGAGGCCGTCTTGGCCGCTCCCCTGCCCTCCGATGCGCAAGGCACCTTTGCCTTACGACAGAGGATCCGGATCCTTGTAAGAGTAGGCTCCGTCTCGATTCCGATCCTGGACAGGCTGGAATAACTAATGTGTGTGATATTTATATTGCTTCATATTTTACAAAACTAGATATCTAATAAAGATATCTAATAAAGATAAATTTAACATTACAAAACTAGCATTCTTTTTTATAGAATAATAAATATCCACAAACTCCATTTATCCAGGTCTACTCTGATGCCTCGGACAACTTTGATCATTTTGATAACTCTTTCTTCTAAGATGATTTTCTAGAACATGCAACCAAAAGCGATAGTCACCCTCCATTATCAAACCAGGAAGAAATTGCGGACTCCAAATTCAATAAATCGATTTGTTGTAAATCAAAGTTTGTCACCTCAGAAAATTGTCCGCCAACAGACAACCTGAACACGCAACTCAAACTTTACAGGAAATCTCAGAAAAACAAAAGGTGACACAACATGATGACGAGATCGCAATTCAGAGATTTCCCTTGGGTCTAGTTTTTTGTTTTTTACACGTTCTTTTCTTCTCTGTAATTTTTAAAAACTTTTATTTGTTTGCTTGCACTGTACTTTTAATTTATATGAATAAAATCTTCTTTTTCTGAATAGAAAAAAATAAAAAAAATTGAAAGTTCAAGGGGTTGGACGCCCCTGCCCCCTAAAGTTGTCCTTGTTTATATGCTTAATCCTAACTATGTCGTGTGGCTTATTATTAAGGGAGTCTTTTGCATCAAGTGTTTGTCAATTTTCACACCCCTTTTGGTAATACTAAAATTGAATTGGCTGATTTGGTTTATTTTGTTGAAATTGATGAAATTTTGGCGGAAATAACTGAATTGGCAGAACCTGCTGAATTATGACTTTTTTTTATTTAAAATATGTTTTATTAATAAAATAGTGAAAAATTATAAAAAATACTTAAAATGATTCATTTATAATAACTTCAGTAAATTCAGTCGGAAAAGGAACTTCAATCTTACTTTTTTTATTACACAATTCAACGCGTAAAATCCAAAGTTACATGTTTGTTGAAAAAACTAACTAATATGACTGATAAATTGAATAAATAGAGTCATCATACAAATTCTTAATTTAAAAAGTTATAAAATAGTGCTTTAAATAGAAGAGATATGTAATATTGTTTTAAGATATTATGTATTTTAAATAATACCCCCTCCGCCCCTCTTATTTTGTCCCGTTTTACCTTTTCGAGAAATCCCACTAAAATTGTCACATATCATATTTGATAAAGTTTGTGTGGCTCCAAATCCTTCTTACTTTATTCTTACTTTATCAATTAATATCAACCACATAAACTCACTTTTCTTAATTATCGTGCCACCCTCTTCCGTCCCAATATAAGAGGGACGGAGGTAGTATAAATTTATAATTCCTTGAACTATCTATTTATTTATATTTCTTGAAACTTATTTACATCATTATATAATATTGTCTACTTTTTATGGGGCCTTAGTTCTCATGTTTACAATTTTAACTTGTAAATATGGTGCCATCGAAAATTATACTTCAATGCTTTAGAGGGTAAAAATATTCTAAAACATTGCAAACTTTAGGTTTTACCAGTTATGAAAGTCCCTCTTGTACCCACTCGTTCCTCTTTCAAGTAAAGAGGAACGGATGGAGTCACATGGGCTATTATTGACTTGCAAAAATTTTAAGGAGCCATATGTGACTCTCTTACGGAGTCACATGGGCTATTGTGGCACCATCCCCACCACACATTATTTTAGTGGAGGTCTCCACAAAAATAATGTGTGGTGGGGATGGTGCCTCAATAGCCCATGTGACTCCATAAGAGAGTCACATGTGGCTCCTTAGTATACATGGAATGAAAATCTAATTAGTTTAAGAACAGGTCGTTCTACTGTGGCTTACTTGCATAAAAAATACACTTATTCGTTAAAATTTCGCCGCATAAAAAATACTCTTATCCGTTAAAATTTCGCCAAATTTGACCAGCAAGGAGAATAACAAGGACCACGAATTCATTGATTGAAAGAGAAAAGGACAATGTTTTTGGGACAAAGGAAAGAAAAGATAGAAAAATTTTAAGGGACGGAGCCCGGAGGGAGAGTCCTTTTTACACTTTTGCCTGTGCAACAAACATTTTACATTTTTACAGATGACGTTTGGATGGAAACTGATTAAGGATCCAAAGAATCCAACATTCGGGGGAATAAATTTATAAAAGAAAGGAATTTTTTTAATGGAGTGCAATGGTCAACTGCACCTTACCAAGCTGGACAAGTCTGGCGAGATTTTTGTATATTTTGACTGTTGCTGTATTGTTAGTTGCCGATAAAACAACAAGTGCAATGCTGTAAAGTTCACCCTTTTCGACTGCAAATTGCCACTCCCTTGTGGATATGTTGAACCTATCCTTTCTCAGCTGTCTGGTTGCCTTCACCTCTACATATTCTTTATCTCCTACCAAAAGGTCATAAGGCAACCCAGTCTCAATAGTTTCGTTCACCCATTTCACCGATGTTTCTCCAACACTTCCAATGAAGTATTTGAAGGCAACAAACTCTCCAAGCCTGCCCGTCAACATTGCCTGTTGTCCATTTACTGAGCTGGATGTGCTGGTAAGAGATAGCTGACCACTATCGCTCACATTTGAAACCAAACCAGAACCCGAACCGGCTTCTAGAGTAGTCACAACAGGAAAAGACTCCAAGCACATACTCACCTCTTCTGATGATATATTATCTTGTGAAATTTCAGAATCTGGTACACTCGCTACCCCAGGTGCACTGGCAGTTGTTGAAATATCTTCAACAAGTCCCCTAAAGTGGATGTCAATTGGAGCATGGGGATGCTTTTCCGGATTCCTCATGATTTCTGTCACCTCATCCTGATTTAATATTTTCACATCACTGCCCGGTTGTGCTTTTGAATTAGACACATGGGGGAAAGGGAAACTAGGGGCATTTCTCCAATTTGTGGGTGGCCAATTAGAGAGAAAACTTTTTCCTGGTCTCTGTTTGGGTTTTACTGGATTTGGCTCTTCTGTTGTTCCAGATTCAACGTTAGTCATCAGTGCCTCTTGATTTCCCATTGAAGATGCACACTCTGGAAGGGACCATACTGGTTCTCCTTCTGGCAGTTTTGGCATTTTCTGGCTGTTTACAATGAAAAGTTCAGTCTGCTCATCGGGCAAACCCGATTCCGCCATGGTCATGATCATGTGAAGAAAATTGGCCAAGTGGAGATCAGGGGTTCCACCAGTAAACAGACGAGACAATTCCATAAATAAAGAGTGTGAATCTAACCCTCGAGAAACATACAATATAGTGTCCTGGAAATCACCAAAAAACATCAGGAAATAAGTAAGATCTGACATGTACGGAATTATCAACATTGTGAACTACTATCAGACTTTATCCACAAGCACCTTCCGTAAAACTCACTGTAAGCAAAACGAAGACCGTTCCGCGCAAATACGGAGTATATATATAGGACTTAGTGCGGCAAGTTCAGTTTAGTCTAGAAAAATAACACAAAGATAACTCCAATTGAACAATGGTCTAGAAATAGGTCACAAAACAATTTAGCCTTTCAAATTACATCTACAGGACCATACTTTAAAAAGGTGTTTTTGTCAGACTTGATATATTTAAACAAGTCACGTATCTATTTTTATTTTATTAGTTAGTCACTAAGCCCATTAAATCCCCTAAAATGTAGTGACCAAATTCACCTATTTGACTTAATGTAAGAACTACTCAGCACTCCTATAAAAGTGTGAACTATGCTTGCGGAACTTTACCACTATTATCCTCTTCTCCTTTCCAGAGATGTTCAAATAAATCCAGGCACTTTTTCTACTTCTGATGTGAACAATAAAGACAGAAGTAACATTACATTTTTTTTTTTGTATTTCTCCTGAACATCTCTAGCAATACCTTTTTTCATTTCAAGGTATTTTATTTTTTTATAATAAAAACCCTAAACCCTGTATGACTTCTCTTGACAGAGTCAAACATATGATAGAGATATATGACACTTAATTATGCCGTCTTCAATGTATGATTGATAAGATATTTAACATTACTAGTAAGTTTGATTCATGAAGGGAGTTTTGTACAAAGTTTGAACTTTGAGGTATATGTCTCACCTCACTTATGGAATACATCTAGTTCTTATTAGTATCCTAATCATTTTAACAGATAATCCAGAAAGGTAGAAAGAATCTCTATCCCTCCTAACTCGCCACTCAGCAAATGAGCAAACAATTAAATCTACAGAATGGTTTGGGTGTACCTCTAAAAGGGAGTTGCACTCAAACCTTTTGATGGATGCCATCTTGTGTCCTTTAATCACATTTCTGTAGAACAACTTCTCCACAACAATTAATTTTAGACATTTCAGGTTTTCAAATTCAGATTGCTTGAGCTGAGAAAATATTTCAGGATGATTGTTGTATATATAGCGTTGAGCATATGGAAGAATCCAGTTGACCAGAGAAGCCACAGAACTAGAATCAGACACACCATAATATATTGCTTCATGAGTTACAACCTGCAACAGAAGAATAACATATTTTCACATTCTGAAGGAATCTATTTGCACTGCAGTAGAAGAAAACTAGAAATCTATTAGCGTGCTATCTGCTTTTTTTTTTAAAAAAACAGTAGCTTCAATACTTCACTAATAATCATTGTTCCTCAATACAAGAGGTCAAGAGCAATACACTCAGGGGGAATTCCCACCCAAGTACCATCAGACCCAAAACAAGATTCCCTCGCAAGTCTGTGGGCTACCCGGTTCACTGACCGGTGAACATCATTATAACGCTATCTGCTTTATATGAAAAGGAATTGCCTATATTTCCAGCTTTAATGTATGCAAATTTTCTGGTACATGTATAATGTGAGGGCAGAAGTGTGGGTCTCTACAGTTTATGCATGTGGATAGAATATTTTATGTTCTACATATCGACGTACTGGATAAGCGGTAACTTTGAGGTCAAAATATGCATGTAATTGTGTAAACGAGCTGAAACTTTCATGATGTATACAGTGATGTCAAATATGCACATCAATACATACATTAAATGCCAGAATATTTGTTTGTGCGTGTATAAAAGCTTAACCATATAACAGACAATGTAGAGAGAGAAGACTCGATAGTTGGCAGAGTGGGATGTACAGAAAAGTGAAACTCCAATGCGGGTTCACATGTGGACTTGTGAGAATATATCAATAGTTAGCTCCTAATCCATACACATATATAAACAGAAGTGGAGTAATTTAACAAAAATTAATAATTAAAATTTCCAAAGGATTTTCTAATTAAAAGGTAAAGCACTTGTGCTACAAACAATTGCAGCTTGTAAATATTTGGTAACAAATATTTCATTTTTCTTTCTTTTTGAGATGTGATACAGTCCAATATTTCAATCACTATTATAGCAGAACAAACAAAATTCACTATAAAAGGAACACGGTTTCCCAAACTTCAGAGAGCAACACGGGCATGCAAATGAAACTTGAGTAAGGAGTAGAACTTTTTATCTTTTGAATTTGGGGTTGTCAATAATTTGAAACGAAGAGATACTTGTGTTTCTTTTCTTCTTTATTGTTTACTTCATGTACCTACTTGAGCCGGATGAAAGAAAACATTCACGTCCGATTTCTAATGCATCTGATATTCACAAAGTGAAGCTCCTTTCAATTGTTCGCTCGCTTTTGTAGCTTAAGCGCGCTTGGGGATTGAAACAAGCGGACTAAGTGTACAACATGTAAATTAATGAGCAAAAGGAGGTTAAGCTTACCTCTGTAAGAGCAGGGATGCCTAACTTTTGCATGAGAATTGACACCTTTGAGTGAAGCAACTCCTTTTCCTCGCTGGTAAGTTTCCCGAAGTGTAAAAAGTCAATGTTTTCATGATCCTCAAATTCCTTCTTCAGTATATCATCATCACACCAACAGATGATGCCAAAAGATGGATGTAAAGATACCCATTTATCATGTACGGTGGGGAGCACAGTAAAGTCCTTCTGTTGAAGGTCATCTTTCAAACATTCAATATCTTCAGAGCTAAGAGAGCCTAATTTCAATTCTTCAGACCACTTCAGAAACACCTGGAAAAACTGAATAAGAGAAGACGTTAGCTGCACTCTTGCACCAGCGTTTTCATTGACAAGTTGAGTTTATGTTTCCTAGTGTTAGTTGCTTACAGTCTTAGCCACCTGTGCAGGCAAAGTAACAGCTGACAATTGCTGCAAAATCTGAATGTAGCCACGAAAAGGAGGGAACTCAACCACTCCACACAGATTCACAAAAAAATCATGAAGGCTGGGATACACACAACATACAGGACGTAGAGTCAAATCTGCAGCACATTCAGGGCGGATTAATTTTATTTGATCCGAAAAACCAGTTGAATCATGCCAATAGACTTCTTTAGTCGACAAAAATGCACCAGATACAACATCATCAGGCTGAGAACTACACATGTGTGGGAAAAATATAAAAGGGCCATCACATAGAGCATTCACAACTCGTAGCTCAGAAGTGGATACTCCATTCCATACGAAAGTGTAGAATTTAGCCATTTGCAATGAGCTGGAAACAGAAAATTAGACAATTATTTGAAACATAAGTTAAAAATATGAATTATATAAAAAAAAATATCTGGTAAATAAAAAAGAGAAGAAATCAAAAAGCTTCTAGACTACTTCTCTTATGTTGTGAGTAATAGACTAATAGAGTATGCAAGAATAACGTACCTGGCTCTAAAAGATGATTCAGATCTTCTCCAAACCTTCAGAATAGATAGGGCATCGTCAATTGTTACCTGGGTTTTCAAACCAATCGCACTCGCCAACTTCTTGCTCTTCACCTACTCCACGAAAAACAAAAGGACATTGGCATTCTTTTTTTTTTCACTTCGAACAATGTCATTCAAAAGTCTAAACCCAGTTAAGTGTAGTATAATACATATATTGATATACAATAGAAGCAGGCCTATTTATACGCAGATAAGTAGATAATATAATCAAGTGAGAATTGAAACTGTGAGGCTTTAGGAGTTTAGGCATCTGCGCGAGAAAGAAAGGCTTGCATCTTGAAATAAACACTAAAAGGATCAAGGTTTTAAAAACCTAAAATGGACTTCAAGATGCTCTGCTTTAGCCTCATGAGGCATAAACCTCCAGAGGCTCAGTAGGTCAAGATCACAAAAAAACTTAATTAATTATGACTTAGTAAATCATACTAGTATTTAGTTATTTACAACAATAATTGCATGATAGAAGAATCAAATATCCAAGTCACCTCTTTAGTAGAGAAGCAAGGATGAACAAAAAGTCCGGTAGAAAGAAAGTCATGTAGAGAGCAAAAGAAAGTTGGTAAAGACTAAAGAACAAACAGCTATACTATGGGTCAATCTTTTATAAATAAATCTAACTGGAAGCATGCTCAATCTTCTAATGAAAAGGGTGGGAAAATACAAGACCACACAAAACAATGATTAACCTAAGTCCGGCAAGTAAACTGGTACTATAAAAATGAGAAATACAACACAGGTAGACACATCTTACAAATATACAAGTTTTAATTGAATATTTAGTAGGTCATTCAAAATAGTGATAAAATTAACCTTTGGAACAGCATAAGGTGCAGAGTCACCCAATATTGATCGCACCGATTCACAATCGAAGTATAGGTCTTGAGGGAAGTGGAGATCGCCATCCATGCTAGAAACAATCCACTTAGCACTACGAAGGCTACTAGCAAATGAAGATTCAAATATTTTCCTTTGTCCACCGGATTTAACATAGAAACCATTAACCTTTTCACTGAAACAATCATCCCATAATGAATCAACGATCTCCAATAGATGTTTAGACTTCTCTTTATCGTTATTAGTAGATAGTTGTGACAGAAAATGAATAAATTCTTCAGATTCCCAATCTTTAACATTTGGCTCTTCAGAAAATAAATCTTTATCACAAGTTATACTCTGTAGGACCATGGGAGAGAGATCCACGATGCTTTTCTCAACCAGAACAATCTTTAAAAAATCAGTGATCCCCAACTCCATGAAGAAGTTTCTCCACTTTGAAATTCCTCCTGGAACCAATTTTGTAATTGGATGCTCTAAATACACATTTTGTACTTCAAACCACTCCACACCAGTGCCTGTTATTAAGTGCTTCATATCAATAGGATTCTCATATTCTTTACTAAAATGGATTGGAACCTCTGCACATCGTCTGTAACCATAATTTGTTAAAATGGGAGCTTTGATGTGTAATTCACCAATGATAAGATCTCTTTCCAGAAAACAGTTGGAGCAGTTTGACTGTAGGTGGAACATCATGAAAGAAATACAATCAGTCATTAGTTTGTTATGCACCGAGGTGTGTTGACCAACAGATAAAAGAGGAAGAATGTGCATTTTTATTATTTGATGCGCAGATAACTGTTGGACGCCAACTCTGTATAGCACCCTTGCTATATTTTCAACTGTAGACACTCGAAAGCCCAATGTGTCACAAGTTGTATCTGCAGAGAATAAAGCAGAATTCACTATTCTAAGTCCAGCATACACCAAAGGGAAATTGTGCAGACCATCTGTGTCACTTCTACCAATGTTCAATGCATCAGTATGCAACCAAATAGCACCTTCATCCATTGAGCTAAATTTACCATCTGAAAGAGGAATAAACCGAACTTTTCTTAAGCAGTCTATGATATCTGATCCTATCCCAGAGTCAGGTGAACTTTGCCCAGGGTTTAGGAATGACATCGTATAGAAGGAATTTAGCCATGCTGATAACCAGGGTAAGCCCATGGATTTCAAGGCATCCTCTTTACAACATAAGGAGGACAAAATCTGGATAAGAATTTTGGGTCCATACTCCTCAATTCCCAGAGCCCTTGCTAATGAATCAGATAAAACTATATCTTTATGCAAATATCCAAGCCCAAGATGCTCACGAAGCAAACTATCAGGCAAAAGAGTGCGAACCTGTTCAGTCCAGTTTCTCAGAACTTTGCAAGGAAGAACCCACTCATTCCCCTCACCATCTAGAACCAAACACTTTGACATCCGCAGTCTAGAAAGAATCATCTGAGGAAGACAAGAAAAGAATCCATGCACTTCCCCGATAATAGGAACAAAAGTCATGTATACTGCAACGCCCTTTGCTGGGTTATTTCTAAAGCATGGAAGATTGCAAAAGGATTTTTCTGCACTAATAAACAGATTAGGAAACTCAGAGAGTAACCACTGATTCCAAGGGCTATTTCCATCAACTTCTTCCCTGGATGAAGGCAAAATAAAGTCACCCTGAAGAATAAACTTTAGGCCATATTTTCTCAGAGGAAGAAATGAAAAAACAGGCTGTTGGCTCAGGTTTGGAATGTAGCTTCCATCAAGTGTCTCCTGCAACGTAAAAGCCATGGATATTTCTGTTGTTTGCACTTCAGGGCGAATGACATCAGCCCGTAACTTATGGGATACTACAAGCCAAACCATTTTTTCCTTTCCACAGGAAACTCTAACAATACCATCACCAACAACTTCTTTCCTCATAACAACAAATGAATTACTGAGCATGTCTCGAAATTTGATACATCGAAGGCGGTTAAGAAAAAGTAGCAAAGATGGATGCAGATCTGAAAACATTGATGTGATGTTTTTTATAGCAGAATCTACTAACATGTGTGATCTAAAAGGGAGGAGAATGCATGTCTTCCAGCAGTTAGATGTCAAGGGGTCAGTATCTGTATACGCCAGCCTGGAATAAAAATCAATGTCACAAGGAGGAATAAGAGTTGGCAAGACAAAACCTATCTCTCCCTTAGTTATATCAAACTTTACATTAAAACCATTGGAATGAATTTCAGGTGCATCAGTGACCTGCAGAAGAATCAATATAACTTAAGTTAATATCAATACAAGCTGATAGTATATATTTTTGTTTAGAAAGCTGATAACAATTACATTTCTCGTGCAGTAAACTCATGCAGTTAACTTATTCTTGCAAATAAGAGTCAGGTACTCTCAAGGTATAGTAACCGAAGAAAGAATAATATTTTATGTACATAAAAATCTTTTGACTAGTTTAATGGCAACTTGAAGAAATGTGATGGTTTTACTGGTAGCTACTTCTGCACAGCAGTCAGTATCTCTTCCTCTAATAACCATAATACTTCATTAAATCCAAACAAAGTTTTTTTCTTTCAAAACAGAGAACTCCATTTGATTAAAATTTCACTAGATACAAGAATGTGCAATACGCCAATACCCTAAATACAGATTTGAAACCAATGCCCTTCTTCCCAATATATCCAGAATTGTGCCCTTTTTTTGTGGAATTCCCAACATCACAAAGTGCTCTGATGTTTTTGGTGGAAAACCCTTGCTCATTATTTAGCACTACAATGCCCCTATCCAGAAGAACAAACGTCAATGTGGGCTCAACATTTTCCGGGTAGATGTTGTCATCAGCATTCTGAACCTGAATCAACCACATATTGTCCAGAGAGACATTAAGTTAGATATTCCTGTTTGAACAGGTCAAAGATTATAAACTGAACTTTTAAAACCAACAGCCATAACAGCAGTGAAAAAATATCAGCTTTAAGTAAGCTGAGTGCAAAGCGGGGTAACCTTTTGCAACCATTTCATCTAAAATACCATCAGTGCAATTGAATCCAAACCATATGCACTTTGGTTGTCATCAAAACAGATAATGCACTAATTGGCTTTTACCACACATCATAGCAATATAGCATAATAAAACTTTGAATGTAAAGCTCCACAAAATATTACGTGTTACTCCATCCGTCCCTTAACTTTGCCAAACTTTCTTTTTTTGTCCCACTAACTTTGCCACTTTCCCTTTTAAGTGTAGAATTTGTGGTTCCAGTTAATTCTCTCTCCTCTTTACAAACCTCAACCACACAATTTTTACTTTACTAATCCTCGGGATGGTCAAACTTGGCCAAGTTTTACGGGACGGATGGAGTATATTAAATTGACTTGTATAGGTGTTTAAAGATGAAGACTAAATTGACTTGAATAGGTGTTTGAACATGAAGACTACTACTGCTTAGGGTTGAAAGAGTAACACTAGTCACCCACATTATTTCAAGATGTACTATGTTGTGCAAACATGGTAAGTTAAAGTTATTTTTGGTCCAAAGTTCCAAACAATGTTAGGTGGTAGGCAAACACGACTCGTTTGGGTGTTGATAAGAGTAGTATACTGGTATGCTTGTCTTAATAAGCAGAAGTGTCATCTCCCGTTTCTTGGAGGAGCTTTGCTTCTATAACCAGCCCATAAATACAGTTGCAAGGACCCATTAAAACTTAAATCAACAGCTAACAAGCTGCAATTGAAAATACCAGTTTTAAGAATGGCAAGTGTAAACATGTAGAGCGTGTTAAGCTTGTGCCAATTAAATCTACCATATGAGTTAACACTATTAATTCATTCAAAAAAAACATATAGCAATGATTTTGCACAGATGACATTCATGTAGCAGCCTTCTTAAGAAGGATTAGTGAGATGATAATTCTAAACCAGTCATCATCATTGGTTATCTCCACATGCATGAAAAACATCAAGCGACAGGCTATGTGTTTATATTTGCTTCTCTCATGTCCATTAAATGATTGAAATTGTGAATACGACATGCAAATTATATACTGAAGAATTTACATCACATTATTAAAAAGCCATACCAGGCAATATCGTTAACATTAAGAAAATACAGATGGAGGATATGTTAGTTCCAGAAAGTAACTGTTTAACATTAAGAATAAAGTTACAGTAATTAAATACAGCAGTAATCAGGTGGAGGATATGTTAGTTCCAAGCTGCTGTATGTTAGTGTTACTGAAACTAAACAATACAGAGCATGCAAAGAACATACTCACCAATTCCAGAAGGAAATGTGAATCCTGAGAATATAACTCATGAGAGAGAGACTGGAGTGCTCTACCTAACCGTGCATGTTGCTTAGTCAACCTTTCACTTTCAACCAATGAAATGTCTGGATTCAAACCAAATTCTTCCTGCCTTATAGATTCAATAACTTGGGCTGGATCAAGGTCATACAGCTGATTTGTAGAACCTCCACCCAAAAAATCAACAGGAACAGAAGCATCATTACTAGTTTGACACATTCTTCCATGATCATCACTATGTGGCATTGTCTCAAGGGAGATATTATTAACTTCAGAAAACAGACTTTTGGTTGATACAGCTTGCAATTGATTTGAGTTGGTGTTTAGCTCGGGCATGTAGCCTTGTAGGAAAGAAGATTCAGAATACATTGATAAGCTAGCGGCTGATGCAGAGAAAGAAAATGAGTAGTAATCATCAACCCATTCCACAATACCAAGTGCAAACCCAATGTCATGAAGCAGCACACGATGTTTAATCATTGTGCATTCATTCAGTACAGCTGAAGCAGCATCTTTAGCAATCTGCTGCAACCCAAAGAGCAAGATACCAGCAGCAAAAGGGCAGAACTCAATGGGTAAATAGTCCAGACACTCTATTATAAACCTCGATGCAACAGACTTTGCTTTATTAAGTCTGCTCCCACTTGTCAGTGAACCAGTGTTTACATCACTTGGCATACTCTTGTAATCAATTGAATCCATGTCTAAGGAATTTTTTGAAAAAGCTTCAAATGCCTTGCAGGCGTAGCACTTCATGAGGGCCAAAGGAACACTTTGTTCACCACCATATAAAGTTAACAAAGATAACAGCTTTAGGGCAGTTTCAAAAGCAGACTTCTGCAGAAGAACTTCTAAGAAAGAATCTGTGGTCGCTGCATGGTCTACCCGGATCACCTTTCCACCTCTTGTCACCAAACACAACAGCCCTTCTGTATTCACCTCTTTCAATAACCAGCCAACAAGAGAACCCAGCGAAGGAGCAAAGGCAAAGTCCCAGTGAGACCACAATCTTAAATCTGTAAGCATCGGGGCTTTGAGCAAAACTTGCATTACATCTTTGGAAGTTACAAGAGTGTGAGAAGAAGCATCTCTTCCAATGCTAAATTCTAAGAGAGATATTTCCGAGGTGCTTAACCAACTTTTACTCAACCCATCAGCTTTTAACAAAGTTTCAGAAAATATTATACACTTCGAGCTTGTGGCAGCTTTCTCCTTTTTACTATCATCAAAGTCTTCCAACAAATCACTCTGTACCATCTGAAAACATACCAAGGGGAATTGTTTAGCTAGCAACTCAGAAACCTTTTGCAGGTTTAACTTTTCATTATCCAATACACGGTGCAAAGCCTGTGATACAATGACATCAAACTGTCGCTCAAACATGGAGGCTTTCAGAGGAAGATTCTCACCAATATCACTTCTCATGCTCCTCTGCAGAGCGCATACAAAAAAATTCATATGTTTTTCCATGAAGGACCAAATATCTCCATAACCAAGTGACTCAAATCCCTTACAGGAAAACTGGTCTGATACCCAAGATTCAAGTTTGCATAGTTTCCTCAAGATGGTTAACTTATCAGTGAATGCGTTAAATCTGTCATTGTCAACCTCCAAATATGCAGAAATTTTTCCCACAATGTCCTCAACCGAGACACCTGTTGAAACATACAAGATTCTGAGTGATGTGGGATCTACAAAATAGCACTGATAAATCTAAACAGTAAGCACCTTTCTTCCTCATCAAATTGATGAACCAGACCAACAACATCCAAGCGAGACCAATATAAAAATTGTAGATATTTAAAAATCAAAATAATATGGAGTAACAAGTATTCTTATTATTCATAATGACGACAATGATGATGATGGATATTTTCTTCAAAGGATGGTGGACATAATAATAGTAATAATAATAACAATAGGCGGCAGCGGCGATGACGACGACGACGACGACGACAACAATGATGATAACAAGAACTACAACTACAACAACAATAATAATAATAAATAATAATAATAGTAATAATAATCATTATAATAATAATAGCAATAATCATTATAATAATAACCACAATCATAATAAGAATTACAACAACAATAATAATACCAAGTAATAAAAACAATGTCAACAACAATAACAATAAATCATATGTATGCAAGCATATTGTAAAATTAGAATTCATTAAATTCAGTGATTGATATCCAGAAATAAAAGAGAAGTAGGGTCAGAATAGATACATAGCACATTTCAGACAATCCCACGAATTTAAACGAAATGTGTGTAGATTAATATTACCCAATAAAAACACTGCTTTAGGTCTACATAAAGTTTTGTTCCAAATAATGCTAGATTTTGAAATTTCATGTAGAGCCTGATCAGCTCTACTAAGCTACTGCACTGAAGAAGGATGTTTTCTATAAGCTTCAGCTAAGGAGCAGTTGATAAATGAAAATGAAGTGTGTTCCTGCTGTCTTGAAAGGTTTTCCTATATCTTTAATGTTTAAATCAACTGCTCTTCGGAGTATATAAGTATATAACCAATATAAGAACTCAGAGAAATAGAAACACATAAAGGAGAATAAAATCTCACCATGCTCAGGCTCCACAGGTTTTTTAGGGTGGTTGGACACATTCCTTCTAGGCGATGATGGCGGTGATGGTGATGATGATTCAACATCAATGGATATAAAATCAGAACGATTCTCAGATCTTTTGTTTGCAACTTCTGGTTGACTCACATTTTGGAAGGTGTCATACATGCTATCCAGCATTCCACTCTTAATGGATGTCACCTATCAAACATGTGAAAGTCGATAATTCAACTGTGGAACTGCATGAACACCCAATGCCACAGAGTTTCTAATACAACCCAGCCAAATAAACCACCCTAAAAGGATCCAAATTTATGATAGGATGGCATCAACTATCAACTACTTAGTTAGGACTAGTAAGGATAGAACTGATATTACTCATAACCATTGACCAAGAAAGTTCCTATTTCAACTCCAATAATAAAAAAAACTACAGAAAGCCAAAAGAGAATAAAAGGTATGCAACCATGACCAGCATTTTGAACAAACCATGAATCGTAACAACATTACTTCTCTCATGGGTTGCAATCTTTCGGATTCATTAATTGGATTACAGAAATATAATTCATATGTTAGGGGAGCCAAAATAGGTAAACATTCACAACAACAACAACAACAGTACCCCAACTCCGCAAAGGCTCCCACCTACGGTGGGATAAGGGGGGTGGGGTGTACACAGTCTTACCCCTGTATTAAAGCGTAGACCATTTAGTGAGCCATTTTACTTTGTTCCATCATATTCCCAAGCTTTCTAGTTCTCTTTAAAACCAACTTTTTTGGACAATCGTAAGATGGAAGGCAATTAGAATGTCCACACAAGAAGATACATGTGTTGGAGACCATATGCCGAGTGCACATGATATCAATCAAGATCCGTGAACAGGCTAATTTGATGGGAATTAAGATGTTATTCAGGACATATATTAAATGTGCACGAAACTAATTTGATGAGATCTTTGTGTCTACTTCTCATCATTATTGACCATTCATTCTAAAACAATAAGCCAATTACAGCATGGGATTGCAAAAGATTAGAGAGACTTGAATATATTCAGCAAAAAGATTTATTGGCAAAGAGTAAATGGGTCATATATAATATGCATAGATGTTCACTTGCTTTGGTATCTCTGTCTCTCTGCAATAATAACTGAAGTCAAAGTTATGCCTCCAATGAAACTTACAGCAATATGCAGCAATCCAATACATGGGTATGAGGAAAACAACTCTCTTGCTGATGATCTTGATTTTTCTCGTGTTAGATAAAACTGAATCATCTTATCAAACACCTGAAAGAACAACAGTACACTAGATTCAACACTTTATGGAAGTTACAGTAAACTAAATGAGGGGAATGAAGGTGTAAAAACACAACTGCACATATGTCACACGCCCAAAAAAAAGAACGACGCCGTACAGCACGCACTGATTAAATTTACAGAGGACCTTCCATTTCCAATTTCTTGGGACTTGGGAGAAATGGTAAAATCCAGGCACACAACTTCAAAAGACTTCTGGAATACCCAGGATACACAACAAGGCACAGCATTGCATAAGCACAAATGCACAATTGCTAATGAATTAATGAATGAACATGTCCTAACAAAAGCTATACTGCCTCACCACCATCAAAATCAATATTGCCTAATTTCCTTACCCTTTGCTTCTGGTAGAGAATCCTATAGCTAACAAAATACATCTCAAAGTTTGATTCAGAAAACTTTTGAAAGAGTGAAAGTACAAAGGCTTTGCATCTTTTTGTAACATAATAAACAAGTGTCTTGCATACCTCATCCACATTGTTTGTTTGACATGTTTCCTTCCAAGTAGTAATGAACATCTTCATTGAATCACTGCCATATGAGCAATCACTTGAGTCAATATTTCCCTGATTCCCTGCCCTTATATTCTTCTCACCGGAATGGGTTGTCCACACTTGTCTATTGCATGGTGTTTGGGTTCTTTCTGTTTTGCAGATTTTTGTAGCATGAGTAACAGGACTCTGAATATTGTCGTGTTTTCTTTTTCTTTTGGATTGTTTAATACTCTTGCTGTATCCCACCTGTGCAAATTCTTCACCTACAGTTCAATAAGGATAAGTACTCACTCTATCAAAGCTGTTGACATATTCACTTTGTACATCAATAGATTCATTACCATCTATCTCACCTTCAGATTCATCATCATCACTGGAACTACCCTCGGAACAGGATGATATCAATGATGCATGCTTGCCAGAACCAATTTCATTAACAGATGAGAACGATTTGACATGCTCTATTATATCATTGAAATGTACATCCATCTGCTTTTTTTGTGACTGTAAGGATGAAAAAGCACGATGTTTGGCTTTTTTAAATCTGTTTTTCGGTGTCTTTAGATATCTAGTCACACTAGTGACTTCTAACTGCTTTGCTTGTCGAATTAATGAGATATGCATCCTGAAATTAAAATCAGAGAGAAAGAAACAAGCAGTTATGTTTAAGGGAAAAAATGAATATAGCTATAACTGATTTCATATAATACTCCGTATGAATTATCAATGGGGTGGACTAGTGGAGCCAGTACTGCCCTAATTCGAACTTGTGGTATGCCACACAAAATAATTCATTCATTAAATTTTATTAAAAAATGAGATAAGTCCCATAATAGGGGTAAAACATGGAAAGAAGGCAAAAATAGGAGTAGATGTTTATATTTCATAAAATAGCAGTTTTTTGTGATCGGACGGGAATACCCCTTCAGGGGTTTTAGGCTTGCCACTGCCACTGGGTTGCCGCCACCACCAAAAACATGTGACAGAGATCTGCCACCAGTGCCATCACTGGCACTGCTGGACTGCCCCGCCACCAACGGACTGACCTTGGTTATGCAAGGGAACTGGGGGGAATTAATTAATTATATTAGTGGTAGAAGCTAATGTTTACTCCTATTTTGGGAAAATTAAACATGACTCCTATTTAAGGAAAAGGGGTAAGTTTTACTCCTATTTACGGAAATTACTTTAAAAAATTGTGGATGCACCTGGTGCATATATTCAATGAAAGGAAAGGATCACATACCTCAAACTCTGGATTCGCACACCAAGCCTTTCCTTGGATGTTACAGATTGTTTCTTTGCAATAAAATCCAAAAGATCCTCCACATCTACTTTTTTATGTTTACCGATATCCATGAACTCAAAAAGCAAAGACATTATTTCTGCACTTTTTATTCTGCAGACTTCTGTGGCATCTGCGCTTAGAGAAAAATAATGTACAACTAATGGGTGCTTTACCAAAGGCCCCAATTCAAGTTCTTCAAACCGCTCAACCCTCTCTGATTTGCATATCGCAATTTCTAAGTCATGCAATGTTGTAATTCTTTGAGTAGCAACAAAGCAATGAATGAAAGAATTTATCTACAAAAAATAAGCATAAAATTATAAAGAATCGTAAACACCTCCCACTATCAAATGAATACAAATGTAATGTCTGAACTGCATTCACTTCCCTACAAATATTGGGCAAGTTAATTTCCTATTTCCACCCCCATCTTAATCCAGCTATCATATATATTCAACTTTAGCGATCACCCATTAAGTGAAGCACAATACATCAGTGGAAAGAAATAGCAAAAGCAGAATATAGTTGATGGCAATGAGATAACCTTATTAATAACAAAGTTAATAAGCATTGGAGCTCGATAGCCTTAATAAAGGAAATTAATCAAATTAATGAAGAGTATTGAAAATGAAATCATAAACCATATGAAGTGAACAAGTACACCAGATCAAACAAGATAATATATGAAATTACAACTGATATGCACTATCCACCGGCGCATATTCCCTCTGTCCCATTTTGTAAAATAAGCTTTGCTCTTTGGGTTGTTCTAACAACATGAACATCGAACACTTTCCTAAATTGAACTCTATTACCTTTTTATTTTCTCACTTTATTCCTCTACCTATCATTTCACCTTTTTACTTTTTTGAGGACCAATGATACTTTTTATTACTTTTTGAAGGTTAAAATTGTAAATCAAATACTACACCCTTGCCAAACCCCGTGCCAAACCCAAGTGTGTCCTACATTATGAAACGGAGGGATTACGGATTTTCAACTCTTGTTGCGCTTGTTGTTTTGGAGTATTGTTGTTGTGAATGTTGCCGGGATCTCTGGTTACCCAGTTAAATTGCGTTTTGTGGCTGATGAGATTTTAAATATATGACCTTTTTGTCCCCTTAAATATTCTGTGTCACATACAGACGCATTTATAGTTTTTATTTTAAAACGTTGTATAGTTTGAGGCTTATTCCTTGCTTCATATAAACAAATTGCCTCAAGGCTCAAACCCACCTTTTCGAACCTTGTCCAGAAATAAGTAAATTAATATATTTGCCCGAGAAACCTTGGCAGCCTCACCAACACAGGAAAAGCTGAGTACAGCGACGAACAAATCTACTAAAAGTTTTGGCAGGGCACTTGTCCAAACAAAAGTTTGAATCTTGAACTAAACTATTGTGTTTAATTAGTCCAGACTCACTGTTTGCTATGGAGCCAAAGACTCACTATTTTTTGGCTTGGGAATATGATGGAGTAAAGCAAAATGGCTCATTAAACTGTCTGCACTTCTTTGCTATGAAGCGACAGTCAGTCCATGCAATTTTCAACACGATTTTCACTGTGGGTTATCCGCAAACAGTCTCTTTGTGCTTTAGTACAGGGGGTAAGGCTGCGTACATCCGACCCCTTACCCCGTAGGTGGGGGAGCCTTTGCGGCACTAGGGTAATGATGATGATGATGATGAATTAGACCAGATTACCTACTGTAGATAGTAGTTTGCTGCCAAACAACGATAATAATCTATTTTATTTTACTAATAAAGGAGTGGTGACTCGTTCAAAATTACGGGTGTATCAGTCCTATGGTGACTGTAAAGTATAAACAATTGAACAGGTATGGGTTAACAGCAATCTTCTAGTGCCTAAAGAATTGAATTCCAGGGTAATTAAAAAAAGGAAGTTCTGGCACTAAGCCTTTGGTGTCTTGCACATACTGTTTAGGTGGATCGGTTCACATTCACTCCTTAACTCTGTCCACTGCTTCGTCTAAACAAGAATGGGTCGTTGCCCTAAATATGTGCATCGAAGGTTTAAGACAGTTTCAAATTAGATAGTTATAAGTGGTGCATTTAAGTTCCATGCACGAGTCTATATAGTAGTGAGTTGGAATTGTTGAGAGTGGTGTTGTTTTGGTTCTTACAATACCGCAGTTGGTAAAGAAAAGAAGAAGTAAAAACCATAGCTCCTAAAGTTAATATTAATTCGTACCTTCCCTTCAAGGAGCATAAGACGGTGAAGGGAGGGCACTGTCTGCATTTGGAACCCCAGAGAGTCCCAACTGTCGGCCTGAAGTATAACCAGAGCAGCTTGAGACACTTCCCAAGATGAGACAGCACCTCCAGCGGCGAGTATTTCGCTATAGGCCTTAAGCACTGCCTTGTCGATCATATCGATGGCTGCCATCGGCCTCGAAGCCTGAGCATTCAACTCAAAGATGGGTTCTTTCACGGGAAAGTTAGGGACGTGATTGCGGTTCTCTTTTTGGCGGGGATGACGATTGCGATTCTTTGTTCTCTTTGTTCTCTTTGTTCTCATATTAGAAGAAAATTCAAGATTTGAAACAAGTACATGGAAAAGAGTGATGATTGGAGTCTTTTTTTTAATCCAGTGATGATTGGAGTCTGGAGAAGGTAGATGATTAAAGCCTAAAATGTCACGGTCCCTTGAATTGACTTAAAGTGTTCAATTAGCCCCTTATATAGAAGGTTCTGTCCGGTCGTCTCTAATTAGGGCGGTTCCCGATAGAATTTTTTGATGAAATTTTTTGAGCATCTTCTTCATTAAGTCTAGTTTATCTATACCACATTTCAGCTAAAAATTCAACCTAGAAGGCAGTCAAATGATTTCCCGAAATGTGTTGCGCTGTTTAACTTCGCAGTTATCTTCAAAAAATCATTTGACTGCCTTCTCGATTGAACTTTTAGCTGAAATTTGGTATGAGTAAACTAGACTTAATGAAGCAGATGCTCAAAAAATTTCATCAAAAAATTCTCCTGGGAACCGGCCCAATTGGCGACGGCCGGACGAAACCTCCTATATAAGGGGCTAATTGAACACTTTAAGTCAGTTCAATGATCTATTTGACCCTTTAGCCATGATTAAAAATACGAGTTCATATTTACTCCGTACGTTTATACAAAGGAGGGACCCTTTAGCCATGATTAAAATTTAAAAATACGAGTTCATATTTACTCCGTACGTTTATACAAAGGAGGATTCTACATAGCATGCATTTATTATTGAGATATAGTCCACTAATTAGAATGTTGGAATTGAATTGTATGTAGACTTGTAGAGTATTACATGGTTATGCCGATTTCCGCCTTCTCCACTGTTATGATGCTTCTAGACTGCACTTAAGTTGTTTTGATCATGATTCTTTGAAACAATGATTTGAACCACTAATATGTTTTTGTACAACATTAAGCTTCTTTTTTTTATTTTTATTTACACCCTTAGCATTTGTGTGAAATCAAAGCTTTGACAGAGAGCCGTGGTATCTAAATATGGATAGGAAACTCTGAGTGCTTTAGATCTATCACTGAATTGGGGATAATAAATTTTACAATTTCTGTCACAACACCAGTGCTTTTATCACGGTCTAGCAAAGTAAAAGTATGATAATTTATCTTCAGGAAGTTTACTAAACAGTGATCATCTACTCTAGACAAGCTTGCACAAGATCGCCAAAGAGGTATAAAGCGTAACGTGGTTGGCTGAGCTGAGCTTCCATGCTATTCTACTCTACGCCATTGAAGATTCTCAATACTTTTCAAGATCTTATAAAAGGTAGGTAATGTCAAGGAAAGATTTTCACACTATGTTGGATGCACATGCTTGGAGACTTGAAGGTTTTTTTATCACACATCACATTAAGATTTATGATTTGAGTGACTTTGTAAATAAATTTGTAGTCTAAATGTGGAGATTTAGAGACGCTAATACGGTAATAGTTTCTTTTAGAGAAAAATGAAGCAGGCAAGCCACCCAAGGTCTTTAAAGTTATTTGATTAATTTATGAGTGTTTCTATTCAATTTATTCTTTTTACTACAACAACAAACAACAACATTATTCCAGTGCCGCAAAGGCTTCCACCAACGACGGGGTAAGGGAGTCAGATGTACGCAGTCTCACTCATGTACTAAAGCACAAAGAGACTGTTGCTTCATAACCACTTTGTTGGGTTAAGCTTTAGGTTATACTCTCTCAGCTTTTTAAGCGACTCCCTCATATGACCGATATGATATGTCGCCTTCTTTGACTTGACCAGCATGTCGCCAATTTAAACTTCCATAGTTTTTCCAAGTTGATCCTTGAACGTCATCGTGACCAGTCTCTGGAAAGTGGCACTTGCATTCTTTAGGCCAAAAGACATAACAACATAACAATACGTACCTGACTCAGTGATGGATGATGTCTTTTCTTGATCGTCTAGATGCAGTTGGATTTGGCGATAGCCACTGAGCGCATCCATGAATGACAACATCTCATGTTCTGCCGTTGCGTCAACCACTACGTCGATGTGAGGCATTGGGAATGAATCTTTCGGGCATGCTTTGTTCAGGTCAGTGAAGTCGACACATACTCGCCATTTTGCCTTTTTGTCCTTCTTCTTTCCCTTTTACACGCTGTTGGGATATATTATCCCGGCCTATTACTGTTCAGTAGCCCAAGACATTATCCAGTACGGAGCCCGAGCAGCTAGGCCCATTTCGGCCCATTAGGGTGGAGAGCACCCTTTCCCCTTTGTCTATAAATACGGAGCTTAGCCTCCATGTAAAAGATCTTTTTCCTTCTTCCCCAACTCATTTACTCTCTCTAGAATAGCTTGCAAGACTCCATTAATGGGAGCTCAAATTGTACTGTGTAAGGGTGAGGAGAGCCTAATGAGAAAGAGAGGGCTTGGACATTAGCCTAAAAAGTCCCGTGATTTTCTCCCTTTCGGGTTTCCACGTAAAAACTGAGTGTTCATGCATATATTTACTATATCGTATTGGATTAAACTCAACACTGGCGCCGTCTGTGGGAATCTGTCCAAAAAGATTACATGTGTTCTTCCGTTGTTCAGGAAAAATTCATACGAAGCTACTGATTTTCAACAAAATAGAAGAAAATTTCTGGAACTTGAGTTTGGGGAAGCTCCGGATCTGAGGCAGGAGTTTGGCTGCCAGCAGCACCTGCCCAACTGACCAAGCTAGAAGGAAGAAGGAAACGGTGAAGTCTTGGAGTTCAAATCGGGATTTTTCTCGGAGCTGGGTTGAGGTCGTTGGAGCCACCGTCACCGTCCCCGACCGACGACCCTCCGTTGTGTTCACCTGCAGCAGACGAAACTCGCGGCAACACCCCAGGCCTCGCAACACCTGCAACGCAGCTGCTCACCACTCGCAGCTCCCTCCAGCGCATGAGTCGCTATGAGAGCCATTCCTCCACCTGATCCGAAGCCGTAAGAGCTTCCACCACCCTGCCAACGCGACCTGAAGTACCTACCGGCGGGGAGTTCTTTGAGTCCCGCCGTTAACGGCGGTGTAGAGCTCAGGGGAGGTACCGGAGACTAGTCTCTCGGATTGTCCTTGCCTTGCTGCGACCACCACCTCCACCGGCAGGAAGTGGCCGGCACGAGCGGTCTGCACTGGATTGGCAGAAGAGTGCTCCACCTGCCCATATACTCCGCGTAAATGCCTTGGCGTAAAGAAGACCACGTCCGCTTTGTGAAGGGTGGTGGGGGATGAGTTTTGGAGCATGTTGACCAAGTCAAAATTGCTAAACGAACCAAATTTATTTCAGAAATTCTTTGCTGGCCGAGCGTCTTTTTCAAAGCTAAGTGCTCTTACTTCTTCACCTTTTATTAAAGCATGTTTCATAATTAAAGAAGTAGAAATATTGTTATTAATTTCTATCACCATTATTTATTAGGGATTGAAACTTCCCGAAATAAAATAATGCCGAGCCATGCTCTAGTGATAATTATTTTCACCGTCATTTTAATTAATGGCCGGTTGTTGTGGGCTCGTTGGCCCGCTCCCGATCAGCTTTAATTAGCGAGCGGAGCGTATCTGAATGGCCTTTGGTAGGATAGTATATCATTACTATTACCTGTTATATCACTATTATTTATTGGGGATAAAATGTCCCAAATTAAATAATGCGGAGCAAAGATTTAGTGATAGTTAGTTCGGCCAATATTTTATTGGATATTTAAAATTTTGTGGGGCCCGTTGGCCCACTCTCGATCAGCGTGATTAAGTGATCCGAGCGTCTTCAGAAGGGCGATACCCCGACGACGCATTTTAATTTGAGGGTTGCGCGTTAGTCCGCACGGCACCAAGTGCCCGATCGACGATCATACCCCAATGTAATCTACGCCATTAGGCGCGAAGTGACTATTGCCGAACGTGGCCTATGGGGCCCGAGGGCACCAAAGCACTCAACCTCGTTTTTCCGAGGGCAGTGCGACCAACTTGGGTCTGAGTTTGAAAACTCACAAACCGATGAATATCTCTATGTGACGTTCGGCGGGCTGCTAATTGTCCCCGCCGCGAGCTGCTACGTCCATTAACCCCGCACGATGAGCCGGGCCGAGGGTCACGATGACCCATAGGCCGGTAATCGTGGGTGTTAGAGAGAAGGCCATGCAGATGGTTATGTGTACATATTGTCGGGCCGTGCGGCCCGTTACCATGCTTATTGCGCAGCTGAAGCCACTCGACGCGCTCAAGCGAAATGGTTAAAAGACGCTCGGCCCGAGTCTTGAAGACGTTCAGGGCCAGCTAAAGCGGAGACCATCACGGCTGAGAGCCGATGGACGAGCATCTCCACCTAGAGGCCGAGGGCCTAGAGGAGACCACCACGGTTGAGAACCGTGGGATGAGCATCTCCACCCCAGAGACCGATGGCCTAGGAAGAACACCTAGAGGCCGAGGATCTAGAGGCGAATGCCATGACAGAGAACCGTGAGACGACCACCCGTCATTCAGAGGCCGAGGGCCTAGAAGAGATCGTCACGGCCGAGGGCCGTATGACTCCATCATTACATCATGACCGGCCCCTCGGCACGGCATGATCATCATATTTGAAGACCGGCCTCGTCCCCGCACTGCGCGGATGAGGACCGTTGCTTGGATTTCAGGCCAGCCTCTCATTGCCGACATCATTACATCATGACCGGCCTCTCGGCACGGCATGATTATCTTATCTGAAGACCGGGCTCATCCCCGCGAATGCGCGGATGAGGACCGTTGCTTGGTTCTTTCTGATCGGCCCCCAGGCCGACACTTTTACATGGCCACCGACCCCCTGGTACGGTGCCATTATCTTTCGAAGACCGGCCTCGTCCCCGCCACCTCGCAGATGAGGACCGTTGCTTGACCATATCTTGATCGGCATCTCATTGCCGACATTATCATACCACGACCGGCCCCTCGGCTCGGCGTGTTCATCTTTTGAAGACCGGCCTCGTCCCCACACCTTGCGGACGAGGACCGCTGCTTGGTTCTTTCAGGTCGGCCTATCATTGCCGACACCATTATATCACGACCGGCCTCCCGGCTCGGCGTGCTTTCCATATTTGAAGACCAGCCTCATCCCCGCTCCTCGCGGATGAGGGCCGTTGCTTGATTCTTTCAGGTCGGCCCCTCATTGCCGACACTATCACATCATGTTCGGCCTCTCGGCACGACATACTTAACTTTTGAAGACCGGTTCCATCCCCGCGATGCGTTGGATGAGAGCCGTTGCACGGATATATTGGCCTGACCGGACACTATTGCCATCTCCTCATCAGGACCGACTGCTCAGCGGCATTATGATCATTGTTTGTCGGCTCCCAATGCCGACCCTCTTGAGTTTGCGATCGGGCTCACGACTCCCCTCCAGGAGGGTGACCATCGCCTTCGCATGACGACCAGCTATTCTATCGCCTCGTCATTATATTCGTTCGCTATGCCACCACCATTATGTGTGACATCCCGTGATCCCTGCGAGTTTCTTGGATACCGAATGTCTTCTTCGATGTAGGAAGATCGGTAGGACCACGGACCAGGGACGGACAAAGAAGAGCTAGGGAATCTCGATGTAGATAAACCTGTTCCTCCTTGCGAGTTTCGCGGATACCGAACGTCTCTTCGAAGCAAGAGCGCCGGTAGGACCAAGAACCAAGGACGAACGAAGAATATAGATTGCCTCCCTCAAACAAACAAAAAAAGATGGGGAGAAGAGGAGGTGAGCTCCTATGTGGAAGGGAACCTTGCCCGGGTGTGCCAGATCTTCTCCCACCGCCGAAGACGAACGCCTCTCGATGTAGAGGTTAGTAGAGACGCGGAGGGTGCTAGACGAACCAAGGGAGCCTTGCCAAGATAAACCTGTTCATCCCACGATGACCATGGATCGATGGGCGTGGGATAACAAAGCCGGGAACCCGTGAGGGTAAACCAGTTCGTCCCTGCGAGTTCCTTGGATACCGAACGTCCTCTTCGAAGCAAGAGACGCCGGTAGGACTAAAAGGACCACGGACGAACGAAAAAGGGGGAATCTCGATGCAGATAAACCTGTTCCTCCTTGCGAGTTTCAAGGATACCGGACGTCTCTTCGAAGTAAGGACGCCGGTAGGACCAAGAACCAAGGACGAACGAAGACTAAAAGACTCCAAAAAAAAGATGCCAGAAGAGCATGGAGCAAAGAATGATTTTATCCCTCGGCGCTATTGACTGGGAAGTACAAACAGAAAAACATATGTAAAATTACAAAACTTAAGTACGAAGAATGAAGTGGCCGGCAACGATCGGCTAACATCAGGCTTTCTTTTGCCTTGGACGACGCCCAGGTCCACCCTTCCTCCCAGGATGAAGTCCTGACAGCACGATCGGCTTCTCAGCGCCATCGTGTCTCTTTCACGTTCGGATCGCCTCATTCCCTCCAGGATGGCGACGAACGTCTTATGCAGTGCGATCGGCCCCTCAGCGGCATCGTACCTGGTTTCACGGTTCGGCTCGCCCATTCCCTCCAGGATGGCGACGACCGTCTTATGCAGCACGATCGGCTTCTCAGCGCCATCGTGTCTCTTTCACGTTCGGATCGCCCCATTCCCTTCCAGGATGGCGACGAACGTCTCTTATGCAGCACGATCAGCGCCCCAGCGCCATCGTGTCTGGCTCACGTTAGGGTCGCCCATCCCTTTCAGGGTGGCGACGAACGTCTCTTATGCATCACGATCGGCTTCTCAGCGCCATCGTGTCTGGCTCACGTTAGGGTCGCCCATCCCTTCCAGGATGGCGACGAACGTCTCTTATGCAGCACGATCAGCGCCCCAGCGCCATCGTGTCTGGCTCACGTTAGGGTCGCCCATCCCTTCCAGGATGGCGACGAACGTCTCTTATGCAGCACGATCAGCGCCCCAGCGCCATCGTGTCTGGCTCGCGTTAGGGTCGCCCATCCCTTCCAGGATGGCGACGAACGTCTCTTATGCAGCACGATCAGCGCCCCAGCGCCATCGTGTCTGGCTCACGTTAGGGTCGCCCATCCCTTCCAGGATGGCGACGAACGTCTCTTATGCAGCACGATCAGCGCCTCAGTGCCATCGTGTCTGGCTCACGTTAGGGTCGCCCATCCCTTCCAGGATGGCGACGAACGTCTCTTATGCAGCACGATCAGCGCCCCAGCGCCATCGTGTCTGGCTCACGTTAGGGTCGCCCATCCCTTTCAGGGTGGCGACGAACGTCTCTTATGCATCACGATCGGCTTCTCAGCGCCATCGTGTCTGGCTCACGTTAGGGTCGCCCATCCCTTCCAGGATGGCGACGAACGTCTCTTATGCAGCACGATCAGCGCCCCAGCGCCATCGTGTCTGGCTCACGTTAGGGTCGCCCATCCCTTCCAGGATGGCGACGAACGTCTCTTATGCAGCACGATCAGCGCCCCAGCGCCATCGTGTCTGGCTCACGTTAGGGTCGCCCATCCCTTCCAGGATGGCGGCGAACGTCTCTTATGCAGCACGATCAGCGCCCCAGCACCATCGTGTCTGGCTCACGTTAGGGTCGCCCATCCCTTCCAGGATGGCGACGAACGTCTCTTATGCAGCACGATCAGCGCCCCAGCGCCATCGTGTCTGGCTCACGTTAGGGTCGCCCATCCCTTCCAGGATGGCGGCGAACGTCTCTTGTGCAGCACGTCTGCCTCTCGGCGCTGACATGCTCGAGTTCTCGTTGGGAGCTACCGCTCATATCACATCTTGCATTCCCTCTCTCATACATTGCACCCATACATTACATGCATTCATGCATCATACCTCATACATTCATACATACACACGTGCATCATGTTTTGACAGTACCGCGACGTCGGTTTATAGATGCATGGACCTCTAAGCTTCTCCGATTGGAAAGCTCGAGTCAGAGTCCTTCTTCCCCAACTCATTTACTCTCTCTAGAATAGCTTGCAAGACTCCATTAATGGGAGCTCAAATTGTACTGTGTAAGGGTGAGGAGAGCCTAATGAGAAAGAGAGGGCTTGGACATTAGCCTAAAAAGTCCCGTGATTTTCTCCCTTTCGGGTTTCCACGTAAAAACTGAGTGTTCATGCATATATTTACTATATCGTATTGGATTAAACTCAACACTGGCGCCGTCTGAATCTTTAGTATCCAGTATGTTTAAGATACTTGATCAGAAAAAATATACTA